AGCAAGAATCAAAGGAAAGGTGTACAAGACAGTAGTGAGACCAGCTATGCTGTATGGGTTAGAGACTGTAGCAGTGAGGAAAAGAGGCACAGATGGAGGTAGCAGAGATGAAGATGTTGAGGTTCTCTTTAGGAGAGACCCGGATGGCCAGGATTAGGAATGAGCACATCAGAGGGACAGCTCAGGTTGGCTGTTTTGGGGACAAGGTCAGAGAGGCCAGATTGAGATGGTTTGGACATGTGCAGAGGAGGGATAGTGGTTATATTGGTAGAAGGATGTTGGAGATGGAGCTGCCAGGCAAGAGGTCAAGAGGAAGGCCAAAGAGGAGATATATGGATGTGCTAAAAGAAGACATGAAGTTAACTGGGGTGAGAGTAGAGGATGCCGAGGATAGAGTTAGGTGGAAACGGATGATTCGCTGTGGCGACCCCTAACGGGAACAGCCAAAAGAAGAAGAAGAAGAAGTACTCTAAGCCTTATTACCATTAATATTAAAGCCTTTCTCCAAAGCTTAGCCTCAATATTCAGAGTTTTTTTTTAAAACAAGTGTGATATTCTCCACATTTAGTTTCTGTATTAGTTTCTTATTATGGTATATAAGAAACACCTGCTTGTGAGAAATCTCAGTGCAGTGTGTAGTGACTGTGTTGTAGTAAGTGCACATCCTCTGTCAATAAGTGCAGACAGTTCATTTAAATAGATTATTTCCTCCTGACTAAAATGGTACAGTTTGATTAAGAACAGGTCAGGATGGGCCACAGGGCCTTGTCAATGCCTCCTGTATTCTTTTAACATGTCTTATTATAATTACTCTGAATAAGTCTGAGAACAAATCTGCCTTCAAGCAGGTTTGAAATTATGGCTATGTTGCCATGACAACAAGTCCTATGAGACTTTCAAAGAACCAACAGATCCAGGAACATGTGAAATCATCAACAAGGTGTAAAAGCACATCTGGCCAGCAGTTTAGTATAGAAGTCACACATGAGAAGTCCTGTAGTTGGGTTTTACCTGGGATGGGGATGACAGGGATTGTCTCATCAGACACCACCCTGGGTGAACTGCTGTCTTCGACATAGAAATGGGCTGACTGGAAACAGCGCCTGACAGAAAGAGAAAAACAGATTACATTCTATCAGTGTACATGGGTACAAGTCAAGAGTTTTAGTAAGTCTTGTGACTAATTCATGCTCTGACTCTTGAATTTCAGATTTGAAGTTGAGATAAAACAATCACATAAAGTGGACCGAAGTAAACGATACTACAGGATGTGAATAAACCAACAAAGCTTAAAATGACAAGCATTCAGCAGAAGACAAGTAGTCTCCTGTCATGTTTTAGTCTGTGATGCTCACAGTTTGCATGTGTGATGTTTCATATCAAACTACTTTGAAATGGAGAATTGCATTTGGCATTTAGAGACAAGCTGGAGTTAGAATACAGCAGATAGAAAGGGAGGAGGTGTCACTTGTCTCCTTTCTTACTGTAGAAACAAATCCAGAGTGAATGAGAATTAGAGTCCTCTCTCCTCATGTTTTCCTTGCATCTTGAGATCTTATGTGGGTGGGACTCCATCCATCCATCCATTTTCCTCCGCTTATCTGGGACCGGGTCGCGGGGGCAGCAGTCTAAGCAAAGATGCCCAGACTTCCCTCTCTCCAGACACTTCCTCCAGCTCCTCTGGGGGAATGCTGAGGCGTTCCCAGGCCAGCTGAGAGACATAGTCCCTCCAGCGTGTCCTGGGTCTTCCCCGGGGCCTCCTTCCGGTGGGACATGCCCGGAACACCTCCCTAGGAAGGCGCCCAGGAGGCATCCGAAACAGATGCCCGAGCCACCTCAGCTGGCTCCTCTCGATGTGGAGGAGCAGCGGTTCTACTCTGAGCTCCTCACCCTATCTCTAAGGGTGCGCCCGGCTGCCCTGCGGAGAAAGCTCATTTCAGCCACTTGTATCCGGGATCTTGCCCTTTCGGTCATGACCCAAACTTCATGACCATAGGTGGTCGGAACGTAGACCTTTTTCTTTTTTTTTAATGGAAATTTCTACAGTCACACACTCCAGCAAGTTATCAATAGTCTGCATTACTGCAGAA